GGCTCTCTATACCTGGCATTGGTCTCTCATTGGAGGAGGTCAACATTCCACGTGGTCCAAAAACCTGTAGAAAGCGAAATGCATGTAGGAAGTGAGAAGGTGTTGCATGCAAAAGTTTATAAGTTCTCAGTCTTCTGTATTTGGTTATGAAGTTGGATATACAACAAAAATGAGTCATTCACTATCATCATGTTTATGTATGTATCTCTCTCCCTCCCCTCCTTAACTTGTTGCTTTCAAATGACAGCATATTCTGATTAAACACTTTGTTAATATCAAGGCTCTTACAGGTTACTCCATCTCAATACTTTCTAATTTTCTACCATCACCATTTTCACTGTGACTCATCATTCATCCTTGAATTTTCCTGGGATTTCTGACAGACATTACAAAAATTTCAGAGTATCCAGTACCAGACACTTCTTGAATATATTATGTTCATCTGAGCATTACACAAAAGACAAATTAAGAAAATACATTCTCAGATCAATGCTCTTGAGACTAGGCCATACATGTTAAGATCACTGTGATAGTGGTCAAACATTATTGTTAAGATTCGAAGCTGCCAAGATCAGAGGGGCATCTCACCTCAATACGTTGGTCATAGCCATGAGATGACAGTCGACTAATGTCAATAATGCCGAGTGTTCCGCTAGGGAATTGTAGCGTGATGACAACTGTGTCATAATCACCAATGTTTGCAATCTCAGGTGTGAAAGTTGATGCTTGCGCAGCAACACGTGTTGGATATTCTCCAAGTATCCAGCACATGAGGTCAATATCATGCACTGCTGTGTCATGGAAGATGCCACCTATTGATGTATTAAATATTCAATGTGCATTTAGATATTTACACATGATCCCTGATCATTTACACCCTTTCTTATATAAGCAAATAAATGTTTTCATGGAAATTGGCCACTCCTATATCTGCTTATTATGCTGGCTACATTTTTAGGGACATGTCAGCAGTTTGTTAAATTGTACATGGCCTACCCTTTATTACTTGATATCCCATCTAACTTCAATACTGGTCACTCTTCTTGTATACATTACATGATTTTGCATGCAGCAGATGCTCTCCTTGCTATAATCTATCTGATGCTAAGCGATATTTAATCCTTCTAATCTGGTATACACAAATATATCAGCTTGTCTTCTAAATCTCACCAAGATTTCAGGTGCTGTGATTGGCACCAGGTTATAAAATCTATTCATGTTACAGTCACTTACTTGAACTGCGGAGGTACTCAAGGCTTGGCAGCTGAGCATCCCGGCTGCATGTCTTGATGGTGTGCACATGGCCAACCTCCCCATTTCTCACTTGTTGCTTAATGTTGCTAAAAGCTGGGTCAAATCTCCTGTAGAACAAGATTATTCATTCACATTTGTTGAAAAATAAATTACCTGCATGTCATTCATATGTCTCCACCATTACAGATCAGACATGTACTTGTTTGAAGGCCCTTCCAAAGCCCCTTCTTATTTGTAAATATCCTACTCATATCATAGTATTTGCTTTTTCTTAACCTAAACAGAAACTTCCATATTCCTCTTTCATCTTTTCTGTTTTTGACTAAAACAACAATATTTCAAAACATTTTTGTTGTAAATTATAACTGTTCTCTTACCTTTTTGTACCTTTACACGTTTTAATAATATAATTCTCTCTCATCTTTCCCATTTAGCCACAAGTCAGTCTCCTTGTTATTAATTAACTTTTCATTTTAAGCCCCATTATTGTATAATTTCTTCATTTGGTGATTGTATGTCACTATCTATTCTGAGCCATCTTAAGTTCATATACTGATATTTGACTATTTTTCTAGCTACCAGTTATAATGTGCCTGCTTTATTTAAACTCATGAAATTATATTAAACTTATGTCCTAGAAATTTTGGCTGGTTTATATAACAAATTTGTCAGATTACAAAGCTTTGTAGATGAATTAATAAGTTTCCTACTACACCAACGTATGTTCTCTGAAATACTGTTAACCACCTACAAGATTACACAGCATCACAACCCAGAAGACAACAGTTAATATCTTCACCTCCATGAGAATCTTGAATCTCAACTTCCAGAATGTTGTGTAAATTAAATATACTTCAGACAACGAGCAATGCCCAACATACTTACAGTGTACTGAATCAGTCAGTGTTATGAACTGTTAAAGAATCAACATGATAGTTGTGGCATCTTACCTCTGGAAGGCAGAGAACAGCAATTTCCCAGCTTGCTTGGCTTGTTTGTAGCAACGCTCAGCACCTAGGATGCTCTCTGCCACAGGTTTCTCACAGAAAACATCTTTACAATGAGCCAGTGCTGTTGTCACAATCAACTCATGTGTGTTGGTAGGGGTTGCCACCAGCACAGCTTTTACTCTAGAATGTGTTAAGACTGTTCATCATGTTAACCTAACCTCAAGGATTATTCCCACCAGTCTTTATACCACCCAGTACAGTCACCTGTTTCTCGATCCTTTCCTATTTCAAGGCATATTCTGTTAGCTTCAGGGACTGAGGAAACTCTTGAAAATCCTTATTTGGGATATCTGTTCTGTATACTGATGGCTGAACTGGGTATCTCCCAAATACAAGTGGACATGTTATAATTTAGGTAACATGCTTGATGTTGGTATAAGTAAAAGATTATTGTCAGTTGAAAACAGTTGGGTTGTTTCAGAGAAACTATTCTTTTCCAAGTGATTGGAACTATCAGTGCTTGGACATCACTCTGTCAATGATACAAAAGATATTCACTTAAACCTAAAAGGTTACTCTGTCTACATACTGCAGCATGAAGGCATGATTCAACTCACAGCTAAAAAATTTAACTTCATTATATCATGTTGCTATGCAACTCTCAAAACTGACACCCTGACTTAAGTCTGTCTGTTAGTAAGTTACAATGGAGGACAAGGAGACATCTTATAGCAATAATACTTAACCCTTATGCTCCTTCGCATTAATGATTATTCCTACCTCGGATCCTGGTAAACTTTATCAGCATCAGTGCTACAGAGGAACTGAGTGTCTTCTAGTTTCCAATACTTCTTGATGGCTTCCCACTTGTCCTTCATGTCATCCACAATGTACAGTAGCTTGACCCGGGGGTTATAGGCCAAGCTGCTCAAGTGAATGGTGCCTTCAATAAAGAACAGTCAGTGGCAGTAAGATTTTATTATGTATATTTAGATAAAGAATAATATATTATTATATGTTTAACCTTTATCATACAGGTTAGAGGATTTAAACCCCCAAAGTACTGTTGAACAGACTTATCTCTGGGAATATTGGTTTAGTGGTATTTTACTGTGGTATGTGATCAGCTGGACAGTGCATAAACCACAGTGCATGGTTGATAAAAATTAAATCACTCTAGTTACACTGGATAAGGCAAGTAGCACAGATTGGTGAAATATACATGCAGAAAGCTATTAAACAGTTACTGAGATGGAAATGATATGAGATGATAATGAAATGAATCTTATGAATATAGGTTATGTTGATATGGGTTAAGTTGGTTTGGCTCAGGTTGGGGTCTGTTGGTATTTTATGTGTTGTTCATGTTGAATGTTCGGAATCTATCACTAATTACTTAATGTACAAGGGGTAGATCCTAGCATAAACTACAGTGTCTATGAGTGAAACTGTCATACCTGCTCGGCCAACACCAAATAGTGCCAGCTGGACAATTTCCTCTCTTTCTGTCAGCTGTAGTGCAATATCTTTCAGGAAACTGCAATGAAGATTATACAACATGTGTCTCTTTTGACTATAAAATCTTGAGCTTAATGATGAAGTGGAGGAAGGTTGACAAAAATTATTGATGAAATATTTAGTTCTATAATGGTGTATTAGGAATAGCACTTGAAGACAGCTGGTAGATGCCACTGTTTTGGATAAACATACTGTCCCCATCTTCAGGGCTGAAGTGTGTCTTAGAATCTGTTGAGGTCATAAAAGTGAAGTGGAAGTATAATTTAGGCCCATACTTATATTAATATGCCTCCAGACATGATGTTAACAATAGCTAACCAAGGATAGTTACATTTCAAAAATGCAAAAATGCAAACAAAAAAAAACCCTGCATCTACAACTGCCGATATATATTTTACAGACTTTAACCCGATAGTGTGAAAGAAATGGAAATGAAACAAGGTAATTTATTCCCTGATAACATTAGTGTCAGTGAAGGATTCCCCCTCTGCATGGGGCTTAATGCTATATGACTGTCTAGCATCTTGCATCGTCATCGGTGATGTGTGTACGGTTGTTATAAGTATTGTGAATTGAATACATCTTAATACGTAACTTGTTTGTGTTCATTTTAGGAGCATTTATCCCCTTTGGGTGTCATCATGACCAATACAACAAACATATGAGTCAAGTACAGGTGACTCCCATTATATATGGAGGTGTGGTTATTGGTACATGGGGGTGTTACTATGAATCACCGCGTATAACGAAAAACCGCAACATGGAAATGTATAAAAATCGCCATTTTGATGTTACATCACGTTAGAATTATTTGATGCTAAGCTTGTCATCTGCATCACATTTCCTTGTAAGTTTGGAGAAGGTTCGATGCAAGGCTTTAAAATTTTTGCAGTGGATAGATGCATCTCAAAATGCTGAAAAGACCAGCTGATAGAGAAAACGCGTATAACGAGTCACGTGCACTACAAAAGAAACCCATTGATCTCTTCCACTCACCCGGAATATAGAAAATCAACAGCTGGGGCTTTAGGCCGCTCCTGCGTGTAGGGCGAAGGATCCTTGAACTTCAAAGTAGCCATTATTCAGGAAGAAGATTTGTTTCGAATTAAAAATAATGCAAACACAAATAAGGTAAGAAGAAACAACGGGTCAAAAAAACTGCAAACCGCCACGTAGCAGGTGTGTTGTCTAGACTATGTGGCGTTGCGATATTTACATAGCTATTTATGCCACCTTCCACACTCGGCGCCAAAACAGTTGTGACTCGCTCATCAAGCCAATAGCAAAGCGGCCCATACATTGCTCAACCAATTGAAAACGCCGTAAGGTGAATGTAGCCAAACGTTTTTTTCTTTTATTTCCGCCACTGTATTGAACAGTGTACCAGTGGCGTGCCGACTACTGTTTTTCGTGAAGATTGCTGTCTTCTGGGTTGTAAGATTTGAGGTTTTCAGAGCGGCGAGTCTGAAGAATGCTGTCTCCCACATACTGTGGACATCTACCAGACTACACAGCTAAACAACCCAGACGACAGCAGGACTTTCATTTTGTGACATTTCTGGTTCTAACGGTGACAAGTAAACTTCTACCAGATAACACAGTGAAATATCCCAGAAATTAACTTCTGTTTCGTTTTGACCGAGATTTGCTTTGCACGCCATATACTGTTGACCGTTGAAACACGAACTTCAATACTTATCTGTTTATTTTTGTAATTGTCTGCGCACGCTACTGGCCCAGGTCTTGCGCAAGGACACAAGCAAAAACTTTTGTTTGCTCTTATTACAGAACGGTTGCCACGGTGAACATGTCTGTTCCGGGACCGAACCTTAAACAGACCAATCTGAGAGAACTAACTGAACAGAGAGAAGATTAATTTTGTTCAATATTTGCACCACGGTCTCAGCAGATCAAGCGCCATCCAACATAGAATTATTGGTCGATGCTTTTGAATGTTTCAGTTTTCGTTCTGTGGTGTGTAGTTCACGGTTGTTGATTGCCATGCTCATATGTTATAATATAGCATCAATAGCTTGGTGTTGGAACATTTCGCAGAAACCTTTAGGATGACAGCCGAAGTTCAATTACAAATTCTCCTCAACAGTACAGGGGCCTACCACGCCCAGACCCCACTGGAATATGCGGCTTACACACTGAAAGTTTTCGTGTGCCATGTGGAAACGTCTATTCATTTATGACAAAAGCTATCGTGTGCAGTTGTACTTTCCGCAAGGCATCTTCGAGCTTCGTTAATCGTTACAAATACACACGCACGTTGACATAACCTCTTCTAAATTGTAACATTCAGTAAGCGTATTTGGTATAGATTTGGTATCGAAATAATTTGATTTGATATGTGTTAAAATTTTGAAAGCAAAACCCGGTCCCAGCCAGAAATTAAACACTGGATTCCTCTTTAGTTGTCAGCGTCAAGGGATGCATATTTCAAGTCAAGCAATGGTAAAGGGGTCCCTAGAAGTGCAATATTAGTTGGACAAATCTGGCTCGCGGTTGTAATAGATGGTGTAGGGGGAGTGTTGCTGGTTTTTTTGCAGCGATTGAAGAAACAATAAATGAGTTTAAAATATATTCGTATCAGTTCTTCTTGTGTTGTCTAGTGTGAATATTGTACAATATCTCTTTCACTTGTAGTTTTATCAAGAGCAAGGGAGTTCATGAGTGAATTTATTGAAGTGTGTTATAGTTTTCCAGCTTTGTGGAAAGTTAATTTATTACCTTTATGTTTCCTTCAGTACCCATATAATATCCTCGCATTGTTTGAAGCCTTATTTCGCCATCGTTTAAGGTGAATTATTGCATTTGTACATTTGAGATCTTCAAAGGAGCAACAATTCCTTTTAGTATATAAATTGAAACACCCATGTGCAAAAAAAGATTCATATAGGTCTAATCCCCTGTTTCATTTTCTTCTAATCCCGTCAACAAATCCTCATGATTAAGTTGGCTTATATGTCACTTCTTGAACCACTTTCTCATCCATCGCCTTTCTTATTTTCCTTAGCATCAACAGCTAATGCCAAAATAATACTTAGTATGCTTTTGTGGCCCTCATTTTCGAGTTTAGTTAACCATAGAATTTACTATTACAGAAGAATGTTTGAGCAGTGTTTATTGATTTGTGTAGGGGCCCCTTACATTTCCAACTTCCAAAGCCTTCAAAGGGCGTTCTGTAAAATTTGAATAATGCATTTATGGCATTGTAAAATGGTTTGGGATCAAGCACATACAAATGCTTCTGACTAGATTATTAGTTCAATTCTTAGCCGCTGTCATAACGGCCACCATTTTGTTTTATTGGCGTCATTTCGGAGGTAAATCGTCGGGCCCCCATGTTAGTTCCACTGACTCCCCGGTCCGCGCAGACTTCTCGCAGGCTGAGGCAATTTTGCTAACAGCCAGCGTCTCATGTCCCAGAACCTTCAGCTTGTCTTTTCCTGCAACAAGAGGAAACAGGATTACGATTGGTCTTGGCAGATTTCTGTCAAAACAGCTGACTGGTAGGTTGTGGTTTTCCACAACGTAGTAATCAGCGATGCTGCAGAACATATTTTTATGGCACAACATTTTAAAACATAAAAACACAAAACATATTTTGATCACTCAGTAATTTGTTTTTACGATTTTACGTTTATACAACAATAAACTTGTGATGCGTAGTTCGAGTACATGGTGGGCCAATAAATGTTTTCAATGCTTTAAGTGAGTTGTTGTTGTTGAGTAGCTGGCAACAAAATTTATGATGCGTTATGCCATATCTTAGATATAAAAAAGTGTCTTTGAACTTATCACATGCTTTGAAAACAGTGCAGTGCAGTGAAAAAAACAGAGATGTCAGAACTGGTAAGGTGGGGGCTAATTTACAGCCATTAGGAACCTTATTTGACAACTTTTCATGCTGTATTAACGCACGGGAATTATGGAAACAAAAGATGTTATTGTCAACGACTCCGTTAAGATAAATAGAAGTCGTACCGATTATAACTGGATTTGTGACTATTATTTGTACAGTGTAACGTGAGAGTTTATATGGGATCAGTGGCGATCATTATCACGGTTGTATTCTGGGTCGTAACTCTGTGTTGTCCGGTTTGTTTACCACCGTTTCAGAGGTGTCGCCCTGATGATGTTGGCAGCAAGTAAAACCCAGAAGAAAGCCATCTTCGTCATCGCCGCGGTGAGAACCTGAAATCCCACTGGCTATTGTTCTCACCTTGAATCACGTCAAGGAAGTGTTCCATCTCGTTAACATATGCGCGGTGGTAACGAGACGGGAAGGAGAAATAGATGGGCTGGTCTTGACTTCCCCGCAGACCTATTTGACTTTCCACGCCGCACATAGGACGTTCATTGTTGCATATTAGCATTCCGCGCTGTCCAAACACCTGAAACATACGATATTACACGTGCCGTGTATGTGAGAGAGACACATTGAAACGTGCTACATGACACATCGATTTACTGACAAACCACTGATACACACAACATGAAAAATGGAGAGTCGCAATTAGGTCACCTCTGTCCCCTCCCGTGTTAACTTTTAGATAAACAAGTCTCTGGTCATTTTGATTGGTACATGAATTTCAGCTGTAGGATTTGAATTTTTCACAGTGGTTTGTACGTAGTTGGCTGTTTCTGGGCTGTAGCGTCATGTCCTTGGTGATTTCATCATCAAGGCTGTCGCCGCTTGTATCAGACTGCACGACGCTATAACTCAGAAGACAGCCATCTCCATGAATATAATTTCTTTAGTTTCATTTACTTCCTGCCTTTGAAATGAGTCAGTGAGGCGTGTAAATGCAAGGAAGTAGCTGTAAACAAAAGACGTTGCTGTGAATGATGAACCCTTCAGCCTGTTTACGAAAAGGACATTGATTGGTGGTTACCGTCCATAATTTTTTAACAGTTACAACTGCCGGCTCATTGTGAAGTAGGATTTACACTCTCCACACCCAGTTCGTCGTCTATAAATCGCAAAACGTGCAGTACCTCCAGTCGCTGGTCGTAGCCGTATGTGGAGTCAATCAGGCCAATAGTCCCGCTCGGGTAGCTAAGCACCACGGCAACCGTGTCGTAATCGCCTATGGCTGCGATCTCCGGAGTGTGTGCATAAACATGAGCCGTGACACGGTGTGGATATTCCCCCAGTATCCAGCACATGATATCGATATCGTGGACCGCGCAGTCGTGGAAGATCCCACCTGCAACAGCAATACGCAACTATACCACAAATTGTCGTGAGTTGAGTTTTAGACTTTCTCCTCATACAGGTTAGAGTTTGCCTGAGACATACCGGGTGAGACTATCTGCCGGTTTGTAGCGCAATACCATCATTTTGGAGAAACATTCTGTGCTGTCTCCATCTTCATGACTGAAGACAGTATATGTCTCCGAAACGTTGGCATCTGCAGGCCTTAAATGAGAGCTTCAGAATCCAGAACAGCATCGTCTTCAGCTTATTTTCTGGGCATAGTCAAGGCGTAGAAGTGCATTATTTTAATGTGTTTGATAATTTAGTTGCTAGCGGAAAACTGAATGAGGTGTGTTGTGATTTTCCTTGTTCCCTTCATGGAAATTCTGGGATAGTATTATAGAATATCCTATGACTATTTCCTTCCACATCCTTGCTAATTTATTGTTCACGTTTCTCTTGTCATTTGACACATGGAGTAGACCAAGCGTCGTTAAGACCAGGAGACTGACAATTTTTAATAAAATTGCGGAATAGCGTGCCTCATTAAAACTGCAGCAGGTGAATTATGTGGGGACTCTGGCAACACAAGCGCAAGGGGGAGCCGTCCCTCTGACAGTGGTTACTTAACGTATGTGGATTTATAGATGTCTGCCTTCCCACCAAAGGCTTTGTCGGCCTGGTAATATACCTGACGTGCTGAGGTAGGCGATGGTGGGTAGTGGTGAGTCTCTGCTGCACACCTTGATGGTCTGAACGTGCCCGACCTCACCCTGCCTCACCTGCTCCTTCAGTAGAGAATACGCTGGATCGAACCTCCTGCACACAACCGAATGTCTTTATTTGTAAATTAGAAGCGTCATTTTATGTTCAGAGCCTACTACCATCCTACAAACCGGAAGGTGCAAAGTGTACTGGTAAAGAGCTCCAAGACTACATTTAAGAATATGTTGAAACTTTACATGATTTACGGCAGACTGAGAATATTTCAGAATAAGTTGTTGAAAAGAATGTATTTATCTAGTAAGGATGAAGTGTCAGGAGGCTGGAGAAAATTGCATCATACAGAATAGAAAACAAATAATGTCCTGATACGCCCATTTGATGGTTTGAAATGGTAGTTCCCTTTCTGTCTGTTCAGAATAAATGGACGAAGAGTTTTATTAATACGATTCACAATCATTTTCTCTGCAGTTCCGCTGAAAGATGATAATAATGAATGACAGGACATGACTTTGATGCTGTGATCGCGCTACCTGTTGAAGGCGCAGAAAAGTGTCTTGCCGTAGTGTGCCGCCAACCGGTAGCAGTTCTCGGAACTGGCACTGCTGTGCGCTACAGGCTTCTCGCAGAACACGTGTTTCCGATGCTGTAGAGCGCCCAGAATGGTCTCCTCGTGACATGCTGTCGGGGACGCCACTACCACCGCAGCCACACTAAAAAGGCAACATCCTCTTAGCTCGCCAAGTGGGTCGCGATCGCTTTCTCCTCTTTTTTTTATTCAATTCACATTTCATCACAGACTTCGAAAAGAAAATAGAAATCCATGAGTGGGGAGCCCTCTCTGCCCAATTATCTCCGATGTCTCAGCACTATACGTAATTTCCAGGACTTCACAGCTGGAATATGGTTAGTAAACAGAAAACAGATACAATCCACAGTTGACCTAAACTAGTAAGGAACGAAACTACTTTCTTTGGTTCAGACGCTGTCAGTGTTCTTTGCAGTATGCTTTTGGGTTCGATACTCAGGACTGCCAATTCCTGTATCTGAAAGAATGACGTCCAATGTTGAAAAATACAAAGTATGATTTTAGAGAGCTAATTGAAATTAACACAAGCGCAGAGTGTTATATTCGTTGACGAAGTTGGGGAACCTCCAGACAAGAACTGAACAAATCATTGCCCGTGTTATAAGGTGCTACACGGAAGTGAGTCACATTTTCACTCATGTCATGAAAACTCACCCCGTGTCCTGAAACACTCTGTCCGAGTCCTTGTTGAGGAGGAATTCTGCGTTGTCGAGGTGCCAGTAACTCTTGATGGCAGCCCACTTTGTCTGGTCATCATCTACTACGTACCGGAGTATCACCCATGGGTTCTTTACTAGGTTACTGAGATGTATTGACCCTGCAACACACCAGCATGACCCCCTAAGGGTTTACGTGCTGAAGAAAATCACTGAAATCTAAGTCATTGGAAACAGAGACAGTTGAGCACATTTATGCCAAATAACGCGTCTTATTTGTGTTCGGAAGCCAGCTT